TCGATTTCTCAGGTTTCTTGCTCGCGTGAATACTTTGTAACAAAAATTATTGGTAAAAATAAAATATGGTACAGAAATTTGTGATTGGAACATTTGTAGGACCTTGGGTTATTTGTTGTTTTAATTTGCTGTGAGAGCATGAGCATGCGAAATATTCGCATCCGATGACTTTTAATGGATGTGTTGAAGTTCAAATGACCACTTCTTCAGATACTTGTACCCTTTATTACAAAAATAACAGTATTTCCAGTTTGATGTCAAATTTGAATTGAATCAAGTGCTGAAAAACTTTTATTTATAGTCAAATTTCCATAGCTTCTAGGCTGATACTGAACCACGATCAACCAGCATATCGTTGTGCGTGAATCACGTTTTACTTACTTCATTGCTGTACTAATAGTGCAAGTGAAATAAGCGGCATCAAATACGAACTCACATCCCTACTTAAACAGTATAAGAGTTGAGAGATTTTTATAAAAATTCCGCGAGTGTGGACCTATCGGCACGACTTGGTCTCGTTGGTCTCGAGGTCCAGCGAGAAGATATTCGACGGAAGATCATTTGCATGATGCTGGGATTTTGCGGCGATTTGAAGACAAGCGAGGCTGGCGCGATGGTATGACAGATCCAACATTACGGGATCTGATCGTGTTTATTGAATCCTGACTCGCGATCTTGTCGATTTTTCCAGATTGTCTCCATGCGTCGAAGTCAAATTTAGAAATGAATGTCATTCTCGTGTAAAAATTAATGGAAAGTGTGAGAGGTAAAATGCGACATTTGATTACCATTTCATTTCGTTATTGGCTCTTGGTTTTCTTCCTTAAAGATTTACTTGCTAATAATTAATAAAAATCACTTCATGATCGAACGCCGACCACGTTAAATTGAATCCGCGTCAAAAATAAAATGTAATGGTTGGTATCATAGTAAAATTTTGATTCGTCTTATTTTTTCGAGTTTACCACGCTGTTCAATATAAGGAAATTGCAGCTCGTCCTGCCTCATTCTTTACCTTACAATGGCCATTCAAGGCTATTGGTGGAATCATTTGTGCTTAAGAGTTCTTCTATAGCAAAAATAACTATCGCTTCGTATTCATGTTTCAATGCTCCTTCTTATCCGTTGAATGCAAAGAAATTGAAACCTGTTTCGTGTACTCTGGAAGTCTATACGTTAATACTCAATTTAATAAATTTCTTTAGTGAAAATAATTATAATTGCATTATATATAGAAAAAAGTGTGAGTTCGACTTCTTTAAATATTTGTTCTAAAATATATCAGTTCCTGGCGCTCGCAAAGGTTTGTAGTGCAACTTGTTTGTAATTGCCTGTCAAGATAATTTTGTTTGACACCCCGCAGCACCTCTTTATACGTCGTCCATTTTTCCTTAGTTTTATTCTGTGTCAATGAATCTGTGCCAGAGAAAAGTCTTAATTAATTGCAGTGGCGTGTCTTAATTCTAATTAATCGGCTCCGGTCAACGCGAGACTTTCTCCCGCATAACCAAGAATTAATTAAGACTGCCCGAATCTTTTAAAAATCTCTCGGGTAGCATTAAAATTAAATGATGTGTCAGAGGCTAAAACATTTTACTTTCACTATGGTGACTACGTGATGTTTATTGCGTTTATTCAAGCAAGTGTGGTTCCGTGCAATTCGTATGATTTACACATTTCTACTTAATATCTTGATAAATAATATGCTAATAATGCCTCGAGGTACAACATAATTAATAAATTTTCAATAGCTCATTGCTGAAGTCGTTCAAGTTGATGTCAGTAATTTCGACGGTATAATTCAAATTAATATCCTTTCTCGTCAATATTAGCTGGGAAATGATTTATGCAATAAGGAAGCCATTCATTCATATGAATCGTTACATTACTAATTACTGATTTTGAATTGAAGATCATTAGCGCTACTTAACGTTTCTACTTCAGTAACCTAAGCCGCGGCTCCTCTAAAGCCTGCGACTTATGAGGTAGTTCATGTTTTGCCATCCGAGGCATTCCTTCATATTTTTCTGGGACTTTATTGGGCCATGCGACGCCAGGTCATTAACCCAAATTTGCTGCACGTATCATCATTGAGCGCAGGAAGCCCTAAAAAATCGCGATGTTATTAGAGTATCCCTGCTTGCCTCCATGTATGTATAGCTCGGGACAACGCGTCGAGACTTTGACGTGTACAAGCAAGCGTATAGTTCTTGATCCAAGCGTGGTGATATGAATAAAGTGTTAGAAATTTGAAAGTAATTTTGGTTACTAACACAAAGAGAAACTATTGACTTTCAATTATTTCTCAGCTTAATTATTTCGCAACAAGCATGTAATTTTTCTGGCCAAATCATTTCTCTCCCGCCTTATATAGTATATCTAGAATTTGTTATTTTGGAACGTCCGTCGTTGTTCTTTCTTCGGTCAGACGAAAAGATCGCTAGCTTGTAGACTGAAGCTAACGCTCGCGTGCGGTTCTCGCTTCCTGCTTGATATTCTGGGCCAAGAGAAGACTGACTAATTACATGGCAAGTAACAAGATGACGCCTAATGTGAGCCTCATCGATCCTTAAAGATAGAGTGCTTAATCTGATGCCTGATGCACCAAATTTTGCTCATGCGCTTCTATATGATGAGCCTGCCTTCTAATTCAGGTTCTAATTTCATACCTTGACATTTGTTTTGTATGCTTTATTTACTCTGTCATTGATTCTTATCGCTCTCATGTATCAGGTCTTAAACATGTTGCTTGATGAATGAATTGGCGTCATTTTCACGCTCGTGCCCAATTATTTTAAACCGTTAGACCTTCTTTTTATTTCTATTTGCAATTCCGTTTCGCGTTTACTATGATGTATTTGTAAATTATTATGATGTATTCGTAAGTTATTAGATGTGTTCCTTAATTGAAACAGGTTGTTTGTGCCCACGAAAATATAATTTCATTTTTCAAAAAAATTCTCATAAACGATGTGAATAGTTCTTTGTCAAGTCAAGATTTTGGTGCCATGTTTAGAGCGTGGCATCCTAAAATTTATTCAAGAAATAAATGCTCGAAAGATAAGATAGCCATAACATAAATGCTATAAGTTATTTATTCTTGACGCAATCGAAGATGGATTCCGGTTTACGTTCTCTATTGTTAACAATTATTTTTGCGTCTCCATTTAGTGCCTGGGGAACGATCTTGCTCGGTGCCATTCTGCGTCGGCATCTGTAATGACGACTGGAAGCCTCAGGCCTCGTCGACGCTCAATCGATGCGTAATTATTATCTGGCGAGATTAGTGGCGGCGAGATCCATTAAAGCCTCATTACACACTCAAGGATCTCTCTGTCGCAGTTCCACCTCCTGCCTCTGCTGAAAGGGATCCTTAGAACGCAGCATTCTTCTACCCGTACCCGTCAAAAACGTCCTCCTCAACTACAAGACCTATAGAGGTTCCACAACATATGGTTGATATGGATCCATTTTAACTGCGCATTTCAGGGGGAAAATAACGGCTGTTGCAGTTTTTCATGTGAAGATATATTGTTATAAGTTGTTAGCACTATTTTCCTAACTACTTTTTGTTCGAGTATCTGTCTCCATAAATTCTTCTGGTTTAATTCTTCGGCTATTCTCTCGAAAATCGTTATACTTCTGGGCGCAATTTTTCAGCAAGAAAACCAATTGGGATTACGCGAACAGAATTAATCGTTCTGCTTTTTTGTTGTTTTCCTGATCCCACTCTCCTGAGCCTCAGGAGTTCCTTTGATCAGTTATTTTTTAATTAAATAAGAATTATTTTTCTTGCGTTTTGCGAAATATTTTTCCTTTTCGGATCGCGCGTTTTGCTCATCTGTCGTTGAGTTCCCAGGATGTTTTGTAATGTTGACAAAATATACTGCTCCCTTTTACTACATACGCTGAGGCGTAGAGGTGAACTTCTCTGCAGCCTGGAACGTCGAGGTGAACCTTATATTTCAGTTCAAATAATATACATGAGTTTATTCATAAAACATATTCCGAGTTTTGGTAGTCGTGCTGTAGTTGTGATTAACTGCGTCAAATCAACGGGCAGTGCATATCATTGATGAGGATTATGCACATTGTCGGTCAATATTATTCGTAGGCAGTTTTTGGACGAATTAATTTCGTCATGCATATGTAAACATGACTTGCATACGTATGTATATCTTGCTAAAAAATAGTTTTACTAGGGAATTTACCCAATTTTATACGCTTCAGTAAACTCGAATTACTGAAATTTTGTTCAAGCTCAGCATGTGAACTTTTGCTCTCGTTCGCGCCCCAAAAGAGGAGCACCTGATCTTTTTAGCAGCCTTGGGATTTTGAGTAAATCCTTCGCTAAAATAGCTCCCTTTGGCTTGGGTTTTTATCTGCAGGAAACTTTTGGTGGTCATAATTATCATTTACGGGGTGCTCGGCTTTTTAGAGCCTCTCACTGCCTGCTTGATAGCGACGATACTGCCCTTTGTTTCCTACGCACTTTTTATGTCGACTTAAATACGTTACTTGCCAGAAGACGGCCTTAAATTGCGATAATTGCTCCTGTGGAATGAACGCCGGATTCTATTGCTCCCGAATATGGCGGTCAGTTCCATAGCTGGAATTGCTGTCAACGATTGAGTTCGTTACCGAACTGCAGGCCTGAGATGCCTCACGGAATGTCAAGAGATGTCGACGATTCATAACTGTATCATGTTTTACACTTTTATTTTATTCCGATGAGTCATTATCTTATTTTTTCCTTGTAGGTAGCCGCTCGTTTTCAGTGTCGACGTACAGGTTATGCGATAACAAGTAATTGTACTTATTATTTTGAATTTCTCTGACAGAAATTGCAGCGGTAGCCATCTTTTTTTGTAGGTTAATTTCAAGATTCACAATTCGCCCAATATTCTACGCTTTAGATCGCCAAATAAAACTTTTTTCTTGTCAGATTTGATCCGGGACAATGCTCTAAAATTGACAAAACCTTTTTTCTTTCCAGAAACCTTGCTGGGAGTCATACACAGAAGGCAGAAGACGAAGAAAAATGACTGACAGCGAACCCGAACCATCTTTATTTTCTTCACATAAACTCGAGGATGCTCATCATAGACTAGTATACCCAAGTTCAGAGCCACGTCTCTTTTTCCCACCGAAGTTTGCGGCGCAAAGTTCATTTAGAACACCATCGACGCTCGCGCATTTATTACTGGCTTGTTGGTTGGCGTTTCTTCTTGTGGGTGGAATATCAGGGTCTAGGATAGGGAGAGGTTCTGACAACGTCACCGGACAAAGATTCGCAAATCAACCCTCGCCTCAGACTGCCGTGATCGGATCTACAGTTGTGTTACCATGTCGCGTTATCAACATGATCGGCGAGCTGCAGTGGACTAGAGATGACTTCGGCCTCGGAAATGAAAGAGAACTTACCGCATTCAAGAGATACAAAATGATCGGATCCCATGAGGAGGGTGAGTAATCTCTGACTTGTTTAATATGTTGCCGTGATATTGCGTTTCGTTCCTAACCAAATTCATAAACATATTCCTGGTCCTAATATTGAGATAGGAACACTGATAAGAATTGCTTTAATATCTGTGGAGATTTAATCTTTTTTATTAAAACTCCACATATCAATTAATTAGGCTGGAAGCAAATTTCTAAGCTGTTATCCACGCTGGCCAAAATTTATTGCCTAACATTTATCGATAAAAATTCGACATTTTGTTCGAATAATCCAATGATCCATCGTTGAAAATATTATACCGAATACCACCGGTCTAATATTTTCATATATCACATTATCCTTCTTACACTTAATCATCCTTCTTAATATCACATTATCCTTCTTACCTGCTAATGACGCGTAAAAATATTCCTTCGTCGAGTTTACTTCTTTTCAACAGATAAGACTTTTTGATAAATATTCTTTGCCTGTTAAATACTCTCGGTAATCTTTTTATTTTAATATCTTCCGTTTGCTCAGTTCTTGAGACTTGAGTATATACGTACTTTGTGTTCCCAGCTCAATGTACACCGTCTCGTGCGCGATCCAATCCCGTAAGCAAACAATCAAAAGGATCCTCATGAGGATACTGAGGCTGCGTTTCACGCTCTGCAAGTATCGTCCATTTTCAAGACATTTTTGCGCGCCTCATTTTGCCTTTCCATGGCGAGCCATGGCACTGCCCCAAGTCATAGCGATATGCATTGACCCCGCGTTTCATTTCAATCGAGCGACCATAACCGTTGGTGTTGGTGTGTATTTGTCCCTAGGTGACTACAGTCTGCGCATCAGCCCAGTTACCCTTGAAGACGACGCTGAGTTTCAGTGCCAAGTGACCGGGGTCGGGGATGTGGCGGGCGTGAGATCGCAGTCCGCTAAACTCACGGTCTACGTGCCGCCTGAGCGACCTGAGATCAGCCAAGGCGCCGTGGTGACCTCGACTGCTGGCGCTGGGGTGCAGATTGACTGTGTGTCGAGGGGAGGAAAGCCTGCAGCTGAGGTCAGGGTTCATTTGTTAACGTTGTTGAATTAGATGAAAGAAGTTTGTGATAAAGATGTAAGATTACGTTGTTGAATTGGATGAAACAGGTTTGTGATAAAGATGTAATATTACGTTGTTGAATTGGATGAAACAGGTTTGTGATGAAGATGTAAGATCTGCAAATTCAAAGTCTTCCTTTTGTTATTTTAATTTCAAAATTGGTTAATACAAGATCGTTGTATAATTTTATACAATGTCTCCATTATTTATTGATGTTTAATGAAACCGCTTATCAATATTTTGAGTATTTTCTGTATTATTTCTTTCATGCAAACGTGGAAATGTGATGAAAAATAAATCTTGAACACAAAATCCCAAACAAGCTAATATGTAACGATTGTCCGTTTACTTCAGTTTGATTCTGTATTCTCTATTGTGCTTAATACATTTGACTTCATAAATTATTAATAAGATGCATTTAATAATAAGAAGCATTCTGTAGTCTATAATCAAGCTTTCATAAATATATTTTACGTAAATAATTTCCTATAATTCTCCTTCTAATATTGTTACAGATCCAATGGTTGGATGGCGCTGGACGGGAGTTCAGGGATGGCGTGGAGTACACGACCGACTTGCTGGAGGACAACCACAGGCAGGACGCCAAGAGTTCCCTCAGCTTCGTGGCTACCAAGGAGCACCACAACGCTATTGTTACCTGCACTGCCAGCAACCCGGCCATCAACCAGCCTCTCAGCACCCAGGTACATGCAACGCTATTGTTACCTGCACTGCCAGCAACCCGGCCATCAACCAGCCTCTCAGCACCCAGGTACGTGCAACGCTATTATTACCTGCACTGCCAGCAACCCGGCCATCAACCAGCCTCTTAGCTCGAAGGTTCGTAAGGCTTCAGTTGAAATGATGTCCCGACTTTTGAACCTTAATATTGAGTAACTGAAATCCCGTGTTTAATACAATTATTATTATTAGTGTATTATTTCTAATCATTATTTTGATTGACTATTTTGGATTGTTTGTTGCAAAAATTATCGTGAAATGTCTGAGTTACGCCTCCATTATGAATAACAATTGTGATATGAGCAGCATTATGTTTAATTTCTTATAGGTAGTCGTATATATTGCTTGAGGAGTCGATGAAAAATTATAATCTATACTTCCAAAAAATTCCTTATTCCTGTTCGGCAATTCATTTCCCGGATAAATTGACCCTTAATTAAGTTTCTCAGATCAAAACAAAGGTTTTCAGTGGAATATGTAATATTTTGGAACATCTAATTCCTTGTTGTTAAGTTGGTTGATTTTATTTTAGTGCATTTGAGCGCGTGTAATCGGGGCAGCGCGTAGAAGCTGCTCAGTCTCTCGTGTCGAGCGGGCGGTCGATGGGTATTGTCAACATCGTTAAGAAGAGAACTGCCCAAAAGAGTCACCTAATTATTGTGCTTAATTATGAGCTTAAAATATCGAGTGTCCTTGCTGGGAATGTGTTGACAGGAATTAGAGGTCATGCGGATAATGAAGGCGATGTCATTATAGGACGTCACGCCGAAACTTACATTAAATCGATCCTGTCAACACAAACGATGTTGTTGTGCTTAGGCTTATTCGAATGTATGCAAATTTTCGAACTCATTTCAATCCGATTTTAATTACCTTAACATATTTAGTAGGAATTTACATTTTCTAAACATAGCCATGGACATTTAATTTCATTAGGAATGTGGTTTTTGAACTGCGTGATTGTTGGACATTCGCTATTATTCAGGTAATCCTTATAATTTTATACAATTATTTTCACAAAACATATTTTATATCGATAACTTCGAAATGTCTTTTCAAAACTTTCAAACTTTATTGATACTAATACATCGTTTAAAGTGTTATACTGTGTATCATTGAGTGTATTATTCGTTGCGCATTCGTAGGATAACGTGTCAAGGATCCCGATCTAAATTTTTGTCCCTGTGTACCATGGCGGTAACACAATTGATAATAACTACTGTAAAGGAGTACGTGTAGCTTGGTTCCTATCGACCGCCATGAATTAGAGAAGCTGGTCGATGCTTAAATGTTCAAACACTCCTCGCTATTGAGCATCGTCCTCGTCTCTACTCACGGAACCTTTCACGTAATTCAATTGCGAGTTGAATTTTCTCCACTCTAGTTGCGTGCAATTTTAATATAAATTAGTCGATTTATCAATGAAAAACCATCCAATTAATATAGAGTTTTTCAATTTTAGATAATTCTTGTGCTGGAGCAATCGAGTATTTCAGGCTCTGCGTCAGCGTCGTCCTTGCGGAGTTAACTAAATTAGTTGACCGATGTCCGTAGACTTTTGTTATTATTTTGATTTCAACATCTATGGCAGAGCTTTTATCTTTCAGGAGTTAAAACTGCTTCGAACACTGATAATTTATTATTTTTAGTATAATTAGAAAATGGCTCCAAATTATTCTTCGGAAAGTGATTTATTTTCAGTTGCGTAGAGTACGGTAAGCGAAATAAAGATGTAAATACAGCGTTAAGCTCGATTTTTCGCCAATTTTAATCAACAATATTCTTGGTGTACATCTTGAAATCTCTAGTAACGCGAGATGGATCAACTTTTATTCTTTCTACACATTATTTTTTTGTGCGCATCGTATAAAGAAATTCACATTGAGCTTGAATGAAAAGAATGCGATTCAATTACTAATAAACCGTTTATTTCATGTTCAGGTTCGCATGGAAGTTTCCTATCCTCCTGAAGTGACCATCACGCACTCGAGCTCGGGCTACAAGGAAGGCGACACTGCCACTCTCAACTGTCAGGCTTCCGCCAATCCTGCTCTACTAACTTTCAGGTCAGCGCAGTAAAACTAAGTTATAATTCATCGTATATTATGCCTGGTGTTTTGCTCTATTTCTTTTCTACCTGGCCCAACCTTCAATAATTTAATCATAGGAATAACGAATTTCAATTGCTAACAACCGACGCGTTAATCCGTTACTTGACTAATTTTTTTCGCCAAGTAATATATGGTGCGTTCATTTAGTTTTGTGTGAATATTTGAACATCAATTTAATTAGTAAACATTTGGTCAAATATGCCAATGCGCTATAAAAATATGTTTGATTAGCCTATGATTAACTTTTAGGACTTCTCATTTAAATTCGTAATTTCGCTGTTAATCGGCCTACTTTTATCACATTTCATTCACGTATCGAGCTTCCGGTTGCTTCGGTGTTTTATAATGATTATCAGATGTAACGTATTTGAAATACAAAATTTCGAATTATTTTGCCCAATACTAATACAAAATTACCTACCGATTAGTTTCAAGTATTGAAAATTTTCAGGCTAATAATACGGGCTACTTCAAAATACAAAGAAAATTTTCCTATTGCGAGCGATTTGTTGAGATTTTTCTCCGTTTCCACTGAAATTATTATTACTTGGTCAGTCGCGAATCCAACTTCTGAGAGTGCGGAGTTTAAACCCAATCTAAATTTCGTAAGCCCCGCAATTATTTCATTAAATTTCGTGCTATTCATGGTTGTTTAACTGAATCACAAACTAATAGCATTAGCAATTTGATGCATACAATATATTTTTTTCCATTTGTATTCAGTGTCAAGAATTACTCATAAAAACCTGTAGAGCAACACTACTGCGCTCGTTCTTTTTCTATGCCATCATGCCTGTCATTTTCTCTGCGGTTGGGTCGTTGGTCTTTGTCGTTAAGTTATTTTTCTTACTGTCGTTGAAAGAAATGAAGTCGAGCTGATGGCCGTCTAAAGCAATCGATACATAAGCCTTGTTTCTCCTCGTCTGTGCCTGGTCGCTTTTATTCTTGTGGTCAGTGTAATTATTTATTTAGTTCATAAGTTGATCAAGATTGATCGCTCGGTATAAATATGTACACATTATATTGAGGGAATTTTTCCGTGTGGTTCCATTTAAGTTTGGGTTAAGTTCTGGATCGAAAGTAGTGCTATGGATAAATTAAGTGGGCGATATGGAGTTAGGCTGCTATTAACTTAATAACTTTTATTAACTATTATGCCATATTTATAGTGTATATCAGTATTAGTGATATAAATGCATAAAAACAATCATTACCATTAAAACAACGTCCTACTGCTATATCAAATGCTTAAATATCCTCAACATATCGGACTCTAAAAATTTCTGTTTTCCCCCATATATTTTGAATAATCTCACTTAGCACTGTGAAATTTGTACCAAACCTCACGAATACTGCTAGTGTATAAACTTAAAAATTGCCAGCCTTTTAATTCTATTAGTTTTTAGTTAGGAAGAAAAATTATGCAAAAGTAAAAAAAAAACATATTGAATTAACATGTTAAATTAATACCAAAGTTGAAATTAATGTTGAACATCAAGTTTAGGTAGGACTATCATGAAATAATTGCAGAAAAAATTGATAAAGCAATGATGATAAAAATTTATGAAACAGCGCCCAAGAATTTAGATAAAATTAGAAAATTCTCTAAATGGATTTTGACATTAAGGAGATTTCTGGTGTGCATTTTTTTGGTTTCTTTGCCTTATTATAGGTCCTGAATGACTGTAGAACAAGTTGGAGGGCCCTGTAATTTATCTATAATTTTTATTATTTATTTCTCTACCTCAAGGTGGCATGGGTTGTTTTTAGAGTATGTGACTATATAAGCCCCCAAATTTTCCGCAACTCAGTTGTATAAATTTTTGCCTTCTGTTGAAATTAGAATAAAATTCGTACTGCCCCGCCAGTAAGTCGGATAAGTTGGAAGTTAGCGGCGTGTTTACACCCATCCATGTTTACTGTAAAGCGGACAGCGCCTCCACCGAGTAAACTTACAGGCTCTTCAGTCGGCGTGATAGATTTGTGTGTTCAAGTATCAATAATGTTTGTAATCTTTTCAAAGTGGCCTTTGTGTTATTCGCTAAAAATTTATTAATTATATTTCTAAATAATTTTAGAAGCATTTTTTGACATTACCACCCCGAAACATTAATATACTTGATCAGTTGCGCAACGTTCGGTTTCGAGATTTGTAAGAACGCTTACTGAGGTTCTTTGTGCAAGTATCTTTTTACTTAGCACAATGAATAAACCTACTCACGAGTTTAGAAGAAAGATTAACATATGTTCGCGTGAACAGTCTGGGTATGTAGTACTTATGCTGATTTTAACAAGATACTCCGAACTTGTTACGATATAGAATCGTTGTCTCTTTTCACGTCTTCGAAGAATAACGCATTTTGTGAGTTCTGTCCTGAACGTTTAATAATTTTCACTGAGACGATTGGTCAATTTTATTTTTCTTAGCACAAGCTACGCTCATGACTGGTTAGCCTCTGCAGAATCTTGGGCTTGAACTGAAGCCAAAAGATTCTACTTTGGGTTTGAACTGAAGCAAAAACGTTTCTTCCTTGGGTTTGAACTGAAGCGCGGAGAAGAAAAAATTCTAACTTTTTTCTTCCAACGAACACACCAGACTTCTTATTTTTTCTGGTGCTGGTATCGAGCATGATTTCATTGGATTATCGAATTTATTCTTGGTCACGTGGTCCTCTGAAAAAGTAACGTTTTAGCTGAGTTAAACCTTCAATAGAAAAAATTTATGTGAAGTGAATAGTCTTTGATGCATCACTGATTATTGCACTGTGACGTGATTATAGGCTATATTGATTTGTGAAAAGGCATTATGATTGAATTAAAGTTACTTGTAATTATCGTTGCGGCATCGTAGTTACAAGTTAACAAGTACATTTTATAGAAAAAACTTGACAAGATGCTAAATGAATGGTGCACACTATACCTTTTTAATACTATTGATGACATTTTGTATTCACTTTTTTCAGGTGGTACCGCGGAGATAAGCTGGTATCTAACCAGAACTCAACTCAACTGGTAATTGAAAACGTGTCTCGGAAAAATAACATCGAAGATATAACATGCGAAGTATCCAACGAGGTCGGGTCTTCTCGGAAAATATCAAGACTTTCTGTACATTGTGAGTACCACATTTTTCCTTTATCTTACGTTGATACTTTCTGTAGAAATTATTCAATAATTCATCCTACTCACTTGTAAATTTTTATTTTACTCACTTGTACTATATTGTATCCTTTGCAAATATTCTCGATGATATAGAGGATCGAATGATGACGAATTCTGCTAAATTCGTATTCCTTAGTGGTAACGGAACACATGTTCCAATGCGTGTTCGCTAATAGTTCTCGCTATTCAGTAGTTGTCACTGTGGAGCATTATTTCTCATGTGTACTTGAAATAGACCTTAATTTTTCCCACCAAAAGACTGGTTCTGCACACCGTATTTTGAAAGAAATTGCATGCGCAACATGCGCTATTTTGTTGCACGCACAATATCCGCTTTAAAATGATCGCAACAAAGGATCGCTGCGATCATTGCTTTCAAAAATTCATGCACTTAGCAGAGAATTACTCTGTCGACAAACACGCGAATTTTTAGCCCTGCTGGCCTCGTTAGTCGTTGGCCTTTGCAATGGTCGTGATTGAGTGACGTTGGTTTTTTTTGGTGCTGTTCGATATGGACTTTGAGGCTCTTTTCTTTCTCTTTCGCTTTCACGCTCAAGACCGCGATTAAATATTTGATGAAGTAGGGAGAGTTGTGTTTTCCAATCGTATTGTAATTTGCAAGAATCGTTTAATTTCTCCTATAGTTTTTTAATACCGAGTTGATGCTTTATGTCTGCATATGCTGAGCAGAAATTGCTCTGGATAAGATTTTTTCATTTATATGGATAGCTTTATTTTTCTTCCTGCTCATTCTATTTTTTTCTCCCAGTTCTTCTCTGCTCAGCTTAAAAAAACATTCAGTAATTTTTAGTTAACTACCTGTCGTCTACGAACTGTGAAGACTGATAGCTTCTGTTAAAGAATTGTACTCGCACTATTTTTGAATAGCTTTTCTTTCAATGGCGGTGCGAACTGGACAGTTAACAAGTGAGATGTGTGCAATTAAAATGCACTTGCATGCTCTTAGCTGGCATTTACAATTGTTAGCCAGTTTTTTTTTGCGATAGAGTTATCCGTGTCTGAATGATTTCTGTTCACGCTTGAATTTGTTCTCTCGAAATCATGATCTTCAGTCCAATCATAACTTAAGTTTGATCGTCGAAAGTCATGTGGATTTAAAATTTGTATGCAAATAAATTATTATTGTTAAGAATTTTCCCCAAATTATTTAGCATAGTTTATATAATGTCTGAAATGAAGCAATTAACCTAGTTAGTCACACATATTTATGTAATAAGCGTAACTTTCTCACGAAAACTCTATTTGTTCATTTGTCGTAACCTCAAAATGTCCAAATCCATGGGTGAAACAATGTGATATTCATGATATTCTCGGTCTATTTTGCCTAAAATTTACATAAATTCGAAGTAGTTTCCGTTTTATCGAGCGCCGTGTTCCCGAAATGTTTGCGGACGCTCGGTGCCGTTAGCTGGAGAGTCCTCGAGGCTCGCAGCTCCTTGAGAGCGCCAGCAAGATTGTGGGTTAGCAGCGACTGAGCTCAGTTAGGCCACTATCGGTAAACTATTGAAAAGATGTCTGCCCTCGGTCGATGGCACCTCTATAAAATATGATAGCCTGCGTTCCTCGCGTCAATACAACACGTGAACACTTCGACGCTTCCAACGAACCCAAAGTGCCCGATTATTTACCGCCTTCCCTAGTGACTTGCTATTGTACTGCTAACGAGGCAAGTCTCAGAGAAGGAGCACGTCTTTAATAGAAGTTTTTCGTGCTGGAGGGTAAGTTCTTGTACTTTTGAAACCCCGAGGACGTTACCATAAGTTTAACAATTGGTAGACTGGGTATAGGTTTGCTGGCTATGCGGAACGCATTGACGGCAGACACTGCTTTTAAGTTGGGATTGCCGCTAAGGCAATGCTACAGAATACCCTTGTTGCAGAGCGTATTCTTAACGATCAATATTAATGATTGATTTGTGTTCAGTTATGTTGTGATATATTATGTTTCATCTGCATATGCTTATTAATATGTTATGTTCTTTAAAATCCAGTATTCAAGCAATCACTAAAATGGAATCGGCTGCTTCATTGCATGTAGGGTCCTTGTCACGAATCATATGCATGTTCAAAATTACTTCAATACCTTTTATTTTATGTAGATCTGCTAAGTTTTTTCACTCTCCTTTTTCTTAACTGCGTCGATAGCTATAGGAGCTACATAATATATCGTATTATAACTCTACTCGTGAAATACACGCTCTTGAAATGATTAAATACCCTCTAACACCACATCCGATTACGCCATCCGATGTCGCGAAAATCCCAGTCTGCGTTTCCGCGATTTGCAAGAAATGCAGCGCCATCTATCGCCTCGTTTGCTGATCACCATTTTACGCAAGAGTTATGAGTTCATTTGCGGCGTCAAGTGTCCATTAATTAAATGTTCATCCGCGAGCGCAATACCAAGGGAATGTAGCTATGGAATTTTGCCTGCGCTACGTTCGTATTTTGTAAGGAGATGCGCCATTTGCCGTGGAATGATTATCCTCTTTTTAACTTTCACTCGGTGATGGCGAAAGCCATTTCATTGTACGCAGGCGGAACTCTCGATCGTTCCAGCATGCATTTTGATGTTTTTCTCTGTTGCCTGTGGCTCCGATTAAAATTATTGTTCTTGTGGTCTTCTTTTCCAAGATGATTAGCCACACTCATATTATTTAACCTTGCGTTTTCATTGCCAATGCACCAAGTCTTTCCTCGTCGATCGAACAAAAATTATATTTATTTATATCATTGTATCTATCCTCGAAAAATAGAGTATTTGAAGCTGAATACACTAGCGATTATAATAATGATCGGATTTGATATTTTAAACAAAACGTTTTCAATACTAACTTCCCAATGTGGAAAGAGTATATATGCTTGAAATAACATCGGTGCAGGGATTATTCAAGTCTCTCAAAACTTGGTGCTCGTTTGATCTCTGGATGTCACGGGATTCAACATAGAAACAACTCTGGCCATTTTTATCATACCTGTGGTCTAACATATTTCAATAACTTAATGTGCTCTTAGTAGTTCGTATGATTACTGATGGTCAATCATGAGTTTAATCATGGTTCAAATGAAAGGCCCGGAGCTGGTCCTGGCTCCACAAATAATTCAGGCCCATTGTTGGCGCCTCACAAAGGATCGCATGGAGTTTGTTCCGTCGTACAAAGAGGACATTTTCCGATACGTCGGTGTTGTCTCCTACAAATTCAGCTATTGTTAACGCATGCTTGTTGATGGTGTCGAATCGATTAATTGACTTACGGGAGACTATGGAACTTAGGCGTCTGAATTCGCACACGAATTGGTGTTCCCTCGCAATGTTCTCCTCGCCTTAATTGCGGTTTCTCTTGAGAAATAATCACCTGCTGTAGGCTATATTTTATATTGTTAGACTTTAGTTTGCATCGTTTCAAGAATCAAATTGAATCGACAAATTAAATTGTTGAGATATATTTATTTATTTTAAAATCATACATAAAAACTTTTAAAAAGAGTTTTAATGCGCATAAGCGAGTAGTGTAAATTTTTAGAACCTCATTTAGAGTCCTGCATGCAGATTGAGGTGCAAAAGTATGAGCTTTTAACTTTGTGCGCCTGCGAGTATCCAACGCCGTCTAGGAAAACCTTAGTGGATTGTCCGTAGCTTCTCACAATTGTTACCGTAATTTGATGTTTTTTCCTCACGTCGTTCTTAAAAATTTGAATGTTTTTGTTTTGCGCGCCTGCAGGAAATATTATGAGTGACAGAAAATGGCACCTTGGGGCCGGCATTGTGCGGCGCCTGACTCAAAAGTCTTACTTGTGTCGGTGCAGCAGAAAGATTGCATAGACGTTGCTCGGCATCTTCTCAAAACTAGCCTACGATTTTACGGCCAAATGCCTGGTTTTCCGCCGAGATGGAAAAATGAGACAGTTTTCAGCGGTGCCTGACTCAATATTCTCCGGTGAAATGCACTGCTGCTGGCCGCTCGACGTCACATCCGACGCGAAATGGTCACCAGACCCGGAAATTTCTTGTGCCTAATTAACTTCAGAATGAGAGACGAGGATTTTTTTCAACCTCATGCATAATCGCATGCAACTTTACATAATTCGTGCATTTTGTTATTTAACGTTCTGCCTCGCTTTTGTTATTATTTTTCTTCATTTCGAAAAAATAATTGGTTTACATTGCATGGAAGAAATCTACTTCACTGCTTCCTAGAAAATTTTTTATTAAATAAAGAGAACTCTAAATTTTAAGCTTATTTTAAAATTTCAACTGAATTTATTGATTTCTGTTCTGGAAGCCGCGTGCAGTTTTGCTGATGCGCAAAACATACTTAAATTCATTTTAAAAGTTTCCTTTAGTTTCCTTATTCGAAGAAAATTATTAAGAGACCTTCCAAAAATTCCCAATGAGTCCGGGTCTTCTTTATCGATTTTTTTGTTTGATTATAAGCATTCACAATATTAAATAAGTTAATAATATCATAGCAAACACTAAGACAAGGCTGCAATAGCTAACAAATCTTAGTATATGTTATTTCTGAACAGCCTGCACGGCCCGCGCAATTAGCTTGCTTGCTGGACCAACAACGCTCTCTTATCTGCATGCAGCAGCGGCGGTTTCAGTTTGCAAGTTTGCGTTCACTTATTTAACGTGTCGATAAAACTGGCGAGTAACTTTCAACATTTTTCTAGACAGAATAATTTTCGATTATCATAGAAATCCTTATTCTAATTAAACTTGAGATTTGATGTTAAACTATTTAAAGTGGTTTAATTGTTTATTTTTTATATTAGTGAATTTTATTTAAAGCTTCGATTCTTTCGGTTGAATATTTGATTTTAATGCTTAGTTCGTTTAAACATGCATTCAATAAACGCGTCGGTGTTGACAAAGGAAGCATTTCTGGGATTATAGTTGATACACACGCATATTAAATACCTGTCTCGA